AAAATTTACACATTATATAAATATTCATACTTGGACATGAGGGATTATTGCGATACTAGTATCATTATATTATTGCCGTTAGCATATGCATTATATTATTATTGTCAAGTACTTATGCAACATCATTGTTAGCATGTCATAATACTATTATCACTACTACTAGTGCGCATGTCACGTTATCCATATTATCATTTTATTATCGACATCATGTTACTCGCTTCACACTATCAAGTTTGATCTAATCATCATTTTACTTTTTTGGAGAGATAAATGGATCCCAATTTATTTGATAATGTTATTCATCCCCAGTAAGGATGAAAACACAGTTTATGCGGCTTTAATTTCACATATTATTTAATGTCACATTAACGCCACGTAGACTGTGTTTTCATCTCCAGTGAGGATGAATAGCATTACTCAATTTATTTTGTATATATATAGAGGATATATTGTATTGTATTTCAAGTTGGTTTATTCCATATTTTAGAGGAAATGTTGCTGAAATTTTGATAGATCATAGTGTGTTATTTCAGGGTCAATATGTAAGTCCTCGCTTATTTAGTTCATAAGTTCTCACTTATTGGTACAACTTATATTCTCAATACAATTCGTAAGTCCATACCCATTTGAGATCGATACATATTATCGAGATAGTTTGTAAGCCCTCACTTATTGTAACAGCTTATATTCTTAAGACAAATTGTAAGTTCTCGCTTATTTAGGACTTATACATATTTTTGAGGCAGTTATTAAGTCATTGTTTATTGGAGTTGCTCATATTTCTGAGGCAATATATAAAACATCGCTTACTTGACAACTTATATTTCAAGTCTAACCCGCATATAAATATACAACTCAGACTTATGGGATTATTGTTATATCTATAAATTGCATGGCATGGGCTGAAGAGGGAGGTCCCACATTGGCTGACTTGACATCAATTATTTAATTGGATTGGTCTATTCAATTAAGTGACCTCGTGCAACTTTGTCTTGGACTTGAACTAGGCCCATCTCTCTAAATCCACTTGCCCCATTTCTATTTATCTATATGTATGAGCTCATTTCACAATAAATGTACGAAATTCTAATCCTAGTCAAATCATCTCTCCAATCTCTTGCACTTATTATCTCTCGTCCAGCAGTTGACTTGATCGTTAGAGTGTAAACAATTGTCTGACATTTTTTCTAGACCTGCAGCCTTTGCCTCTTAACAGTGTGCGCAGGTGACACCTACGTAGAAGAGAAGTGGTTGGGATTCTGTTTGCCTCACATTCGTGCAAAAACTGAGGTCAACCGGTCATGTTGTGTTTGATAAAATTTTGGACAATTTTCACCATTGAAAAACAGCTACAACGAAAACTTGAGAGCTAACTTGCTCCTTCTACGAAGTTGGAGACCAACTTACTACTTTTAAAAATATTTAGAGACTACTGTTGCAATATTTCCAACTTCAAATCTATGGAATATAATTTTCAGCTTAAGATTGAAGAATAAGATTTTGACTTCATTTTTCCTTATTTTGACGTATCATTTTTATAAACAGTAAATGTCCTAAAAATTCATTTGATTATGAAAAATTTTGGTTAATAAAAATGTAGAAATTTTATTTTTGGATTTTGTTATAGATTTCATTTTTCTTTGATGAAATATTTTTAAATTATTAAATCGATTTTAAATTGATTAAGAATTTATTTTAATTGATTGTTATAAATAACATTGTATTTTTTTTCCCTTTTTTAATATTGTTAGGTGATATTCGAGATAAGTGCTAAACTCTAACTTGTTTGTATTTAACTTGATTTTGTCTATTGATTAATCAATCCTCATGTTCAAATAAAGTTAAAAAATAATTAACAAAACATATTCTTTGTGTAATGAGTGTAAATAACCTACAACATATTTTCCCTTAACAATACTCTATGATTTTACTTCCGTTTGTTATAAATTATATCCTAAACTCTTGAAGAGAATAATAATAAAAATTGTTTTGAACATTATTGCCTCATAACATTATGTGGACTACAATCAATCATGTATAAATATGGACTTCTTCAGAAATAATGATACAATATTCTGCCAAAATATTGATAGTAATAAAGTCTCCCAAACCATAGTAATATTATTTTTGAATCATTTATTTTTGCTGTCTCTCTTGAAATTTATTCAATGTTCATTTCTACGAGCATCTTTTTTTAGGGCCTGGAACTGCTATTTGAAATCTTAGTGAAAATCTGAATTTCTTATCTCATATCTGCTTTTTGTGAAAAAATACTAATTGAAGTGGATGATTTCTTCAAACAACGATTTTTATCAACCGTAACAAAAAAAGAAACTTCTTAGTAGTCAAAATATGAAGAAATACATATACCTAGCTACTTTCTTCTATGGATANGAAATCTTAGTGAAACACTGAATTTCTTATCTCATATTTGCATTTTGTGAAAAAATACTAATTGAAATGGATGATTTCTTCAAACAACGATTTTTATCAACTGGAACAAAGAAAGATACTTCATAGTAGTCAAAACATGAAGAAATACATATACCTAGCTACTTTCTTCTATGGATAAAAAATGATCTAATTGATAGAGGAAGCATCGTAATGATCAATTAGCGAGATTTTGTCCCAATAGGATAATAATCGTGTACTTTATATATATATATATATATATATATACACACCTTGTATTGAATCATAACCAAGAAATTGCATCTAAAGTATTTACCTTCAACCCCATAAAAAGATCCAACAACATTGCGTGGCATAAATTATGGACAAAGGCAAATCATGCATGAACTTTGAGTGAAATTTGATCACAAGGCATCACGCCAATATTAATCTAATTTCCATAGTCAATGATAAGTCTTATACACGAAAGAAAGTTCGTTCCGATAACGTGTTACAAAATTAAGAAAAAAGAGTGAACTATATAGAGAATTGAGAAAGCATTAGAACTCTTTTTGTGTATTTTATCGATAACCAAGACCTCATATTATATGGTATAATTAGGATGACATGATATAATCGTTATTTACAAATAGTTTTTAATTTGCAACAGATTTTGACCTTTTTTTTTCATTTTCAAATGGATATAAATAGGTCCCAGCCCAATCTTCTCAAATTTAATTATGAAAAGAATTCATGGATCACGTTTTAACTATGACCAAATCAATTTTCAGGCTTTAAGTTTCAAAATTGCAAAAATCAGGTATTTATTAATTAATTAAATATATTAAAATCACAATTATACAATTCCTGGTCACGTATACATACTTATAGGTCACAATTTATTTATTGGTCACATTCTATCAAATTAATTGGTCACAAATTATTTTTCGATCACAAATCAGAAAATTTACAACTCATAAATTATTTTACGATCACATATTAAAATTTTCATAAATCACAAATCAAAAAATTAATAAGTCACAAATCACAAATATTATGAGTCACAACTTATTAGTCGGTCACAAATTATTAAATTATCGATCACAAATTAATAATTTTTTATGTCACATATAATTTCATGGTCACAAATTATTTTTTCATTGGTTACATATTGTTTATTGATACAAATTAACCAATTTAATAGTCACAGTAGACCAAATCACCACAACACCACCAGCACTACCACCTCATCTTCACCGCCAGCAGCTCCACCACCACATACGTTGCCGTTGCATCTTGCTCCAACAACCACCCACCACCACCTCCTCCAATCAACCATCGTGCCACCTCCGCCTACTAAAATCCACCATCTCTCCCAACACTACCACACTACAGCCAGAGGCGAACGCAGACAATTAAAGTTGGGGGGCCACAATTGAACTTGCAAAAAAGTTGGGAGGAATTTTACAATAAAAAATTTACATCCAAAAAAATTACCCCTTGTAATTTTGCATCCGAAAATTTACATGGGATATAACTTTTTCGGATGTAAAATTTCGAAAATTTTTGATATTATATTCCATATAAAATTTTCTAATAAAATGATGAAAATTATATTGAGAAATTTGTA